TCCTCCTCCTCCTCCTCCTCCTCCTCCTTACCCCCTGCCGAGGATACTACAACAGAGGTGCACAGTACCAGCAGTTCCTCCTGCGCTCCATTCTTGTCATTTGGCGATAAAAATACATAAATATATGCATACAGACAGACATACAAACATGCATGTATACATGCATGCCCACATACATACAAATATACATGCATGCATCTATACATATACATACATACATACATACATACATACATGCATGCATGCATGCATACATACATACATATATACATACATACATACATACATACATACATACATACATACATACATACATACATGCATACATACATACACACACATACATACATACATACATACATACATACATACATACATACATACATACATACATACATGCACGTATGCATAGATACTCAGTTATTCAACCGTCTATTCATTCATACATGCAACGTACGTACGTACGTACATACATGCATGCATACATGTATGCATACAGGCATACCCGTCGATATGCATGAATTCATGTACACCTACACACGTATGTACGTGCATGAATGCAATTCGTAAGTTCAGATAAATATGTTTCCATATATACATACATACACACATACATACAGATCTAAACACAGACATGACACGCATACACATACACCTACACATACACAGACGCATACGCATACACATACACATACACATACACATGCACAAATACATACAAAGGAACACACATACATACAGGCATGCACATGCATATATGCATGCACATGTGCAAACATACATACATACATACATACATGCATACATACATGCATGCATACAGGCAGACAGACAGACAAGCATGCATGCATTCATGCAGACAGACAGAAAGACAGACAGACATATAGAGAGACAGGCAGACAGACAAACAGACATGCATGCATGCATGCAGACATGCATGCATACATCGATACATACATGCATGCGTGCATGCATACATGCACGCATGAATGCATGCATGCATACATACATAACTGCGTACATGCGTACACCCATACATGCATACATGCATCTACACATACCTGCATATGTGTATGTATAACATACACATATGCACACGTACATACATACATATATGCATATCTACATACATGCATACATACATACCTGCATGTGTGCGTGCGTGCGTGCATGCATGCATGCAATACAGACAGACAGACCGACAGTACATACATACGTGCATGCATACATACATACATACACACATACATACATACATACATACATACATACATACATACATACATACATATATACATACATGCATACATACATACATATACACATACATTCATACTTACATACTACAGAGACAGACAGGCAGACAGACAGGCATTGCATACATACACACACATACACATACACATCCATACATACATACGCAAATACATATGCTTACATACATACATACATACATACATACATCATACATACATACATACATACATACATACATACATACATACATACATACATACATACACATATACACACGTAACTACACATATCTACATACATACATAATTACCTATATATAAATATATACACATACATACATACAGACATACACCCATGCATACAAAGATACATACATACATGCATGTACAACTACATGACTGTATAACCCCTCCCCGTCGCAACCCCAGACGTGTCGGCAGGGCGGGCCGGGCGTCTCACCCGAGACATCCTCGCCACTCAGAGACCCCGAAGCTCGAGATTCGCACCGCAGCTGCCGAGGAGGGAGGGCGGCCCCCTCTCCCGGAGGGGCCTCCCGCCGCCGCGCCGCGCAGCTGCGGGGGGGGCGGAGGGCGGCGTCATCTCGAGATGGGGCCTCTCGAGGACGGCGAGAAGGTCTGGCTCAAGAAGGGGACATCATCAGCATCATCATCATCAGCATCATCATCAGCATCAGCATCAGCATCAGCATCATCATCATCATCATCATCATCATCATCATCATCATCATCATCATCATCATCATCATCATCATCATCATTATCATCATTATCATCACCACCATCAGCATCATCATCATCACCACCATCAGCATCATCATCATCAGCAGCAGCATCATCATCATCGACTTCGACGGCTGCTGGGGCGCCTCAGGTCGCGCTGGAGTGCCAACTCTGGGGTGTGCTTGGGCGACTCGTGGCCGGCCTCTTCCCCAGCTTCCACGACTTTTCTCGGCCTCCGGCCGAGGGTGTCCGGGCCGGTGGCAGCCTGTCGCCTACAACCACAACAGGGGCACGGGGCCCAGAGACCCGAGGGTAAGAACATGCTGTTCGGTGCGGTGGTGCTTCCGGGGCGTCGGCCTCGCCAGGGCCCGGCCTGGCGGGCCCGGGGGCCCCGGGACCATCATCAATGGATCCGGGACGAAAGACCACCCCCAGAGAAGCGGTAGGGACCTCCGGGGTGAAGTCGGGCATGCCCCTCTCTCTATACGAGGAATACTTGGAAAATTGGCCCAAAAAATGGTCTGGCGATGGTTCTGCGATTCTTTCTTGGGTGCTTTTGCATATGTTGTCGACTGTTCGTATTTTTCCTCCAAAATCCGCCGGTAGGAGGACGTGCCCGAACTCGACTACACGCAAGGGCGACCCTGGCCAAGAGTGACCTTTTTGTGCGCGGCTTTTTGGAGACCGCGGGGGTCACTCTGGCGAAGGGTCACTCTTACGTGTACACGTCGGTCGGAGGAAGTCGGTAAAAACCTGAAGTAGGAAGGGGATTGGGTCCAGGCCCTCCCAGGGAATCACAAAACACAGCAAGAGCGTGTCGACTCTTGAAGTAGGAAGGCGCTTGAAGCAGATCGGGATCTGGGAATCCAAACATAGGGGAACAAAAAGTGACATAAACATAAAAACTCGGAGGTCCGAGTTTTTATATTCATGCCACTTTTGTTCCCCTGGTGCAGTCGACGACCCAACTCTGGGGCCGCGGACTGCAAAAATCGGAGCGGGGCGTCCGGGGGCGCAGCCTCGCGGGGGCGGGCGGGCCCTGGCCGCGGGAGGCGGGGCGAGCCGCTGCAGGCGTGGCGCGTCGGCGCCCAAGGGTTGGGCCGGGCATGTCCTCCTGCATGCGGGCGTCGAAGGAGGAAGAAGAAGAAAAAGAAGAAGAAGAAGATTCCAGAAATGCTCAAGAATACGCCAGAGAGGCTCGAAAAATCATGCCCAGTCTATATTTTGCTACAGGGCAGTGTTCAATACATAGGATTTTGTTTAAATTTCGAATGTTTAATACATGATTATTTTACGAATAAATCAATGCATAAACGCATCATTGTTTTGAATACTAAATCCCTTCATTTTTAATACATGATCCGCACGCGGAGCATGCATTAAAAACGGCACTGTATTCTTGAATATTCCTCCTGTAGAAGGACATGCCCGACTTAGCCAAAAGGCCAGAGACCTCGGGGGATGGTTTCACGGGGCTCCGCGTGGGAGCTCGCGGTGCCCGTGGGGGAGGGTGGAGGGGAGGAGAAGGAGGGAGGGGAGGGGGGGTTCAAGAAGGAGGGGAGGGGAGAGGGGGACAACGGGGAGGGGGAGGGGAGATAACGGGCTTTCGTTGCCCTTTCAGCTGGCGCTCGCATCGATCCAGATCTGTGGGACTGCCCCGCCGCTACAGCTCAGTGCTCACACTGCCGGCCGCGGAAGAGGCAGGGAGGTCGAACCCGAGGAGTGGATGCAGGAGCGCCCTCCTGCACGACCCAGGAGAGAAGAGAAGAAGAACCATCTGCATGAACAGAAACTTGCGGAGGTCAGCGCGGAATTCCTGGGATCCGCACTGGCACCTCTCCCTGCCCCGGGGGGGGGGGGGGGGGCGCCGGAAGCGCTGCCAGGGAGGCCCAGCGCCGACCCCGAGAAATCCGCGCCGACCTTCGAAAGCCTAAGTACGGTCCAGAGCTGCTGCTCGGCGTGCCTCTCGGCGGCGGCCCGAGGACGGCGCGTCGCTCCGCCCCGCGGGGCGGGAGGCCAGGGAAGGCTCGGGACGAGGATGCCCTGAGGACGGGGGGCGTGGCGCGCACGCGTCGCGCCAGGGGCGTGGTGGGCCAGAGCTGGCGGCGGCGCGACACGGCGGGCCGACAGCGAAGGCCTGGCCGCATGCCCGGGGGGCGAGCCCCAGGTGGGGAGCACGAGCGAGGGGCGGCCTCCTCGGAGCAGGCGCGCGAGGCTGCCCGTAAGCGCGCGCGCCGCCCGAGAGACCCGAGCAGAAGCCTCCTGGCCGAAGGCCAAAAAGGACGGCCCCTCGGCAGGCCAGAGGGCCTCTGGGAGAAGCCCCGCCGCCCTCCGAGCAGGCTCTGCCCAGCCGCCCTCCGAGCACTCCTCACCGGGGCTCGCCGACGAGCGTGCCTGTGCCACCGGCTCTTCTGCCGCACGCCGTCCCGCAGAGGCCAGGGCCGCGCCGCACGGGCGCCCTGCTCAGGCCAGCTCCTGAAGAGGCAGCGATGAAGGGGGGGGGACCAGCTCAGGGGGGTAACCATCAAGCTGGAAGCGGCGACACCTCGTGGACAGATCGGCCCATACAGTCAGCCCGTACCAGAAGGGCGCACGATAAGGATGCAAGGGCCTTGGAGGGCCGTTTCGAAGCTTTGCGAGCGGGGCGCGGCCAGCGAAAGTGGCCAAGGATTGACCGAGGAGGCAAGGACGCAAGGGTGTCCTTTCGGGTCGGGCGAAAGGGGGGGATAGCAAAGGGGGGGGTGAGAATCAGCTCACGTAGCTGATTTTCCCGGCGCCTCCCGGCGCCAGAGGCGGCCATGTATCGAGGAATGAGCCCCTCGATGAGCCCGAAATCAGCTGCATGCAGCAAATTTCGTAACCCCCCCTTTCCCAATCCCCCGCTTTCGCCCGTCCCGATCTTTGGGAAGGTTGCCCTTCCTACTGTGCGGGTTGACTGTACACCCCCGGTGGCGAATCCGCGCGATCCTGGGCAGGGCAAGGCTCCTCGGGCCTCTCTCTGCGATGAGTGGGCGAGTGGGTGGTCGCCGCGCTCCCCCCGGAGCATGTCCTCCCTGCCGTAGCCCTTGCCTGACAGCCACGCCGCGGGGGAGGAGGAGGAGGAGGAGGAGGAGGAGGAGGAGGAGGGGGAGGAGGAGGGAGGAGGAGGAGGAGGAGGAGGAGTGAGGAGGGGGAGGAGGAGGAGGAGGGAGGAGGAGGAGGGAGGAGGAGGAGGAGGAGGAGGCGGAGGAGGAGGAGGAGGAGGAGGAAGAGGAGGAGGCGGAGGAGGAGGCGGAGGAGGCGGAGGAGGGCTCCTCGAGGCTGTCCTGCAAGTCCTCCAGCTCCTCCTCGAGGTGCCGCCGCCCCGCCCCCCTGGCGGCAGCGCGCAGCCGCGCTCGCACCTCGCGGATCCGGGCGCGGAGCTTCTGCGGCCGGGACCACTGCTCGTCCAGGGCCTGCCAGTAGCCAGGGCCGTAGCTGAGGACCAGAGGAGGAAGGAACGGCACATAAGCTCGGCGGCGTGGAAAACGGCACGACGGAACCTTGTGTGTGTGTGACGCTCGGCCTCTGGGGGCCCTCGCTGGGCCCCAGGACCGTCAAAGAACGACTCGGCATGAAGGACCGGTCCCGGGGAATGGGTCGAGACCTCTGGGGGTCGACATACGAAAAAAACACGACTTCGGGGGTCGGGGGAGACCTCGTGCAAGCCCTGCCCCAGATAGATGCTCGCGTCGAAAAAATCGGCGCCTGCCTCCTCACGTCCCCCCTGGGCTCGCCGCCGCTGAGCATAAACTTTCGGAAGGCCTCGCGGACTTCTTGGATCGGCGCTGGGCCCCCTGGCGGCGCCTCCGGCGCCACCACTGGCGCGCCCCGCGCGCCAGAGGGGGGGGGTCCAGCGCCGATTCGAGAAATCCGTGCGGACCTCCGCAAGCCGATGCTTTTGCCGTCTTCCTCCTCTGAGATCAGGAACTCGGACCCCTTCTTCACCAGGCTCGTGGTCACAAACCACGGCTGCCCGTCGATCTTGAGGCCCACCTGGTGGGAGGGCGCCACGGCTGTGGTGGCGCCGGAGAGGGATGGGCGGAGGCACGTGCGCGGACGAGGAGGGGCCAGGAAACGGACGGAAAGAAGCGCACGGAAAGAAGAATCGTAAAACGGAGAGGAACAAGACTAACGAATAGACGGAGAATGATTCACCAGAAAGAACCCCTAACCATTTGGGAGGAGACCTGAGTTGGGAGGGCAAGAAACATTAGGGATAGGGGGTCTTCTCTGCAGACGTCTCACCACACCGCCCAAAATGATCATCCTGCATGCGAAGCCCGGGACCTCAGTGAGGCCACGTCTTCATCGTGTCATCCGGGTTAGGGGTTCTTTCCTGCTCGATGAAAAGAAGGGGCCATGAAATCTGGGAGATTCCAAGCCCCGGGCTGAGATACCTCCACGCACCCCTCGCCCTCACCCCCCCATCTTCGGGCCACGACTCGGGCCTCCAGCGGCCGCTCGGGGCGATCCAGGCACCCCCTCGAGAGCCCCCGATCTCCCGCGCGCCGACCCGAGCAGCCCGCGCGGGCGGGAGGGGGAGGAGGAGGAGGAGGAGGAGGAGGAGGAGGAGGAGGAGGAGGAGGAGGAGGAGGAGGAGGATGAGGAGGAGGAGGAGGAGGAGGAGGAGGAGGAGGGGAGGAGGCGAGATAACGTTCAAGCATCGGCGCAGAAAACTTCCTCCCCCCTCGCCCCCCTTCGACGGCGGCAGCTGAGCGACGACCAAAAACGGGTCTTACGCGAGATGGCGCAGCGACCACCTCCTCCTCCTCCTCCTCCTCCTCCTCCTCCTCCTCCTCCTCCTCCTCCTCGGCTTTCGCGGGCCGCCAGCGCGGCACGCTGCCTTGCCAGGGAGACGTAGGCCTCGGGTGCGGGGGACTCGGGTCGGCCTGACGGGGGCCATCACAAAAAGGAGGAGGCCCAATCTGAATCCTGACGCGGGCTCCCGCGGCAGACATCCCACGAACACCGGACCGCCAAAATCCACGACGCGCTCGTCAAAAAAAGCAAAGGCGAACCCGAGTTCCGGCTTACTCGAGTCTTACGTTCCCCCGACCTTGGAGAAGAGGGCGCCTACGCGCGAGGTTACGCGGGCTGCTTACGCGCCCGTGTCGGCGCAGACAGCCCCCTTTTCTGACGTCGCTCCGCGTGGCACACCCGCCGGCACGGACCACCCAGGCCCAGCAGGAGCAGGAAGAAGGAGGAGGAGGAGGAGCAGGGAGTAGGAGGGAGGAGGAGGAGGAGGAGGAGGAGGAGGAGGAGGAGGAGGAGGAGGAGGAGGAGAGGGAGGAGGAGGAGGAGAGGGAGAAGGAGGAGGAGGAGGAGGAGGAGGAGGAGGAGAGGGAGGAGGAGGGAGGAGGGAGGAGGAGGAGAAGGGCGAAGGAGGACAAGGAGGACGAGGAGGGCGGGGAGGATCGGTATGACTGCTGCGGATACGCTGGCGCCCACCCTCGGCCACCACATTCACCCTTCGCCTCTGTGCGGGCGTCCTCGCCCCGTTCACGTACCGCAGCGGGTTGCCCCGCTTCAGCTGCTTGCCGTCCACCGCCCAATGCCGGCCCTCGTCCAGGGTGTAGCACCACCGGGGGTCCTTCTCGGCATCGACGGGCCAATCCCCATCCCCATCGGGGTGCGGTCGGAACATGGCCACAAGAACGTGGATCGAGAACAGCAGCCCCTTCGCCGAAGGCCAGAGTCCCTGTGAGAACAGCAGCCCCTTCCATGGTGGAGGGACGGTCGCCGGTGGAGGGCCCAAACATGAAGAACAGAAGGGCTACCCCCGAAAGCGCTAATTAGGGCTGCTCTGAACCATCGCGACAGTTGTCAACCTGCCTCCCTTGGCGGGGGCAGATGTCGTTTCCATCAGGCCCCGTGGCACCCATCCCCCCCCCCAGAGGCAGCAGGCTGGTGGCGTCGGGTCGCCCTGCCCCGCTGGGGATGGGGGATAGGCCTGACGATGCTGACCTTCAACCTCTTGAACTGCTCCAACGTCAGGCGACGGCCGCGGTACGGCGCCGGCAGCCGCGTGCCCCGCGGCATGTCCACGTTGGCGAAGAGGCCCATGCCCGCTCCCTTAATCGTGGACTCTCGGACCTCCGTCGGGGGAGGCCAAACAGAAGAGCGGTCTCGCGCTCTCGTGAGGTGAGCAGCGCCTGCTCCGCGAAAGCGGTCTGACAGGCTGTCCAAAAGAACGATATGTTGTTCCATGGGGCGGGGAAGACTGCTCCTCCTCCTCCTCCTCCTCCTCTCCTCCTCCTCCTCCTCCTCCTCCTCCTCCTCCTCCTCCTCCTCTCCTCCTCCTCTCCTCCTTCTCTCCTCCTACTCTTCCTCCTCCTTCCTCCTTTCATGCACCACACCACCACCACCCACCACCACATCACCACCACCACCACCACCACCACCATCATCATCCTCATCATCATCACCTATCCATCATCATCATCATCATCATCATGCCTTCATCATCATCATCATCATCATCATCATAATCATCATCGTCATCACCATCTCATCATCATCATCATCATCATCATCATCATCATCATCATCATCATCATCATCATCATCATCATCATCATCATCATCATCATCATCATCCCGTCCTCCTCTTTATCATCCTCCTCTTCCTCCTCCTCCTCTTCCTCCTCCTCCTCCTCTTCCTCCTCCTCCTGCTTCCGTTGTTCAGTGGGTGCCGCGGAGACATACTTATTTCCCGCTATTGGCGGGACCCCAGTACGTCAATAAGGGCGTCGACAAGAGTGACCGCCACACAGCTGCAAGCTGTACACAAGCCCTATCAGCGAGATGCGCAGGTCATACATAGCTTTTTCACCCATCAGCTCGCATTGCTAGTCCAATCACACTGCAACTCATATCGTTGGCCTAACCCAGCACGGGGAGGAAGGAGAAGGAAGAGGAGAGGAGAGGAGAGGAGAGGAGAGGAGAGGAGAGGAGAGGAGAGGAGAGGAGTGTAGGAGAGGAGAGGAGAGGAGAGGAGAGGAGAGGAGAGAGAGGAGACGCGAGTGGAGAAGGAGAAGGGGGAGGAGGAGGAGGGGGAGGAGGAGGAGGAGGAGGAGGAGGAGGAGGAGGAGGAGGAGGAGGAGGAGGATGAGGAGGGGGGCGGAAATTGGGCTGCCTACATCAAGTCCTGACGCCCTTCCGCAGTCGCGATGGGGCCCCTGGAGACCCCCGACGCCGCGGGTCTCCTCACACGAGGGCGATGGCCCTGTCGGCCCCTCCCCGGAGACCGGGTTTTTGTCCAAGGCTGCTGCTGATGATTGCCCCGGGGCCCCCAGCGGAACTCGGGACGCCAACCTCCATAAGGCCCGCCGGCACCGAAGGCACACCGCGGCGCCGTGGGGCCCAGGGCACCCACGGCAGGCCCCCGGAGCGCGGCCGGGCGCCAGCGGGGGAGCAGGAGCAGTCAGCGGCGATTCGGGAAGCCGGCTCGGATCGGAGCGCGCACCGAATCGGACAGCATCGGCTCGAAGCGGGAAGCAAATCAAAGCGGCAGCGCCAGGACGCATTAGAGCGCCGCGCAAACATCGGGCCGCATCGGACCGTCCGCAAATCGGGATCGAATCGAATCGGGCCGGCCAAAGACGATATCGAATCGGATCGGAGCGAAAAGGACCCTGGGGGCGAGAGCGAGGACCGGCCCACGAGACTGCCACGGAGCAGCGCTCCAGGTGGACCTTCCTCCGCCAGAACGTCCGGCTCCCTGAGATGGGTCCAGGAGGTCAGAGAGGCTCCAAGAGTCCTCCAAGAACCTCTCAGCAACTTACACCCCAGCGCCGTCTGTTCCCGACGTGCCCAAGTGGACGACGCCGACTTCGCCAACTGGACGATGCCGACGCGCCCAAGTGGACGCGCCCAAGCCCACGGCAGACCCTGCGCCCCGCGCCAGAGGGCGCCAGCACTGGGGCAAACCCACGGCAAACCCACCGCGCCCGAGACGGCGTGTGCCCTGAAAGTGGCCAGATCCAAGCACGCAAGCAGCCGCTATCGCATCGCGCTCCTCGATCGGGGGGCCCCGATGAGCCCGCACCAAGGGTCACTCCGGCAAAGGGTCACTCTTATTACGTGCAGTCGACGCCTTGACTCCACTCGCTCCGTTTAGGCTTCGATGCTGCATCGAATGTCTGTCGACCTTAGCCGAGCTAGAGCCAAGCTAGAGTCGAACGTGTGCCAAGCTGGAACCGAACAGATCCGCTGGGTGACCCCCAGGTGCACGGTTCCCCCTGGGGCCGTAGGCGACCCGAGGAGGAGGAGGAGGAGGAGGAGGAGGAGTATTTCGACTATTTCGCGTCTCGCTCCCCGCGAGTTGCGCGGTCTGTCCGCGCCCGCCGCCGCCAATGCCGCGGCGGCCCTCTCTCGGGGGGTCGCGGCCCTGGGGCCCACCCCATTCCACGCGCGTCTGGCTGAGGCGCGTGGAGCACCCCTCGGCGGGGGTCGCGGCCCTGAGGCCCACCCCCACTCCACGCGCGGCGCGTGGAGCACTGCTGGGCTGCTCACCTCCCCGATGTTCTGGGGCTGGTTATTCAGCTTGCTGTCCGTGTTGCTCGATTGGCTTGCTGGCAGCTGCCAGGAGGCGCAATACCCATCTTCGTCTTCTGTCTTCCGTACTCTCTGCCGCTTCTGTTGCGGTCGTTGGTCGACTCCTCATTGGCGTCGGACTGCCAGTCGGGTCGGTACTCACGCCCCTCCTCGCGTGAGGAAGTGGTGTGGTGCGTGCCCGCTGGCTTGCTTCCGCTCCTTTGTCGGTCGGATGGTGTCCGTCGTGTTGTTGTTCGTGGTCGACCTCCGCCGTCGTGTTGCTCGTCCGCTGTTGGTGCGGTTTGTGCTGCTGGGTGTCGCCGGCGTCGTGCTTCAGTGCGTCTCGCTGCTCGTCGGTCTTGCTAGCAGCAGCCAGGAGTCGCAGGGTCCACCTTCTTCGTCGGTCTTCCGCACTTTCGACTTCGTCGTCTTCGACCTTCGGCTTTCGCGGGGTCGGCGAGTTGGTCGGGTGGTCTTTGTGGGGTCGGCTTGTTGCTGGTCGTGTCGTTGGGGTGGTGCGCGTACTTGCTTGTTTGGCCTCCATGCACCAATTTCAAGTGAGGTTCGTGGCTGTCCCACCCCGTCCCGTTATGGCTAGGGGTCACAGTGCCCTCGGTGGGGGCGAACCCCAGGCCGTGTGCTTGCTCCTGCTCGTGGTGGGGTAGGTCGCAGCTGCCCAGTGTTCCGTGTCTTAAGCGTTCGGGCGAGCTCCTCCTCCGCCGCGGGAACGAATGGTGGGGGTGGAGAGCAAGGGCGGACCGCGGGGGCGCGGGCAGTGGCCGTCCTGCCCCCCCCCCCCTTGCCCCCCACCATCCCCCCTGGCAGGCGCGGGCAGTACTCGCCCTGCCCCCCTTCCCTTCGCGCCCGTCTCGAAGTTTGTGCCTTGCCTCGTCCGGGCTGCTGCGCCTATCCTTATGCCGGGGTGGTGGGCGGACGCCTTGGTGGTCCTGCTGTCGGTCGGGTCGACCACGCTTGCCTATTGTGCTGTTTCGGTGTGCGACACTGCTTTTGCCCTGAACCTTCCTCGCAGCAGCTACGTCCGCCTGCTCGCATTGCCCAGTCCCACGTGGCGACTTGAGCCTGAGGTGCCCCCTCGCAGTCGGGGCTTCCTCTGGCCTTTGCGCACTAACGCCATCGGCTCTACTTGGCGACTGTTGCCTGAGGTGTTCCCTCGCATTCGGGGCTTTCTCACGACTCTGCGCCCTAACGTCACAGTCGCAATGTCGGCGTTCAGTGGCGTCGGCCTGCTGAGGTGGGCGTGGCTGCGGGCTGGTGCCGAGTTGACTTTTGTCTCGTCGTCGCTGGCTGCGGGTTGCAGGTTGGTGTCCGTCTTGCAGCGGTAGCGTTGTCAGCGTTGCTGTCGTCGGGTTGTCAGCAGCGCTCGTCTCGGCGTCTCCTCCAGCGTGCGCCATCTCGTTCCACTACTTCCGCCTGTATTGCAAACTGCTGTATGGAGGTGCTCCGTGGCATTATGTTTGCATCTTCTGAAATACGTACTCCGCGGCTGATGTCCCGCATGCTCTGCAATATCACCTCTGTTCCTGGCTGACGCATGGGAGGCGGTGCGCGGGGTGTGCTGCGTTGCCGTATATCTGCAGCTCCGCCCCTTGTCCTAGTGGCGTTCCGTCGCAGCCGCCTTTGAACCAGTTGGCAATGTTGTCGAAGGTTGTGTCCCTCCCCACACTTAGACGGCAGCAGCTGCACTTCTAACCCTTCCCGCGTCGCAGTCGTCGGAATTGGCGCGTCGTTGGCGGTCGTCGTCCGGTGGGCCCAGGTGGCCCTGGTGCGAAGTAATCGGATTTCCTTGTTCGCGTTTGTCGTGCTGCTCTTACCTGCTGCCTTCTCTTGGCCATAATGTCGCGGTCTTCTGCTGGGCGTCGATCCAGGACTTGTTGCGTTCCTGCTATGATACGTCGTCTCACCAGGGCCGCCGTCGCGTTTACCCAGTTGTAGCACTGCATCTTTGCGTCGTCGATAACGCGCGCTTCTGCTGCGATATCAGCGTGCTTGTCTGCTCGGGCGTCGCCGCGCCACGCGCGTCGCGGGCATCCTTTATCCCACCAGCCCTTTGGGCGTGAGTGGTTTAGAGAGCCCGCTCTGTTCTCAACCCCCTTCTTCCCCTTCGGGGAGGGGTTTACCCCTCCCCCTACCCCCTCCCCCTGGGCCTGGAGAGGTCCCTCCGCGGGTCGCCGGAGGGGTCTTTTTCGACTCCTCGGAGGGCTAAAAAACGACACCCCTCACGAGGATTCTGGCCCCGACGGGGGGAGGGAGAAAAGTGCTCCCCCCATCTGTGATCGATCGCCCGACAGATGGCCCCAAGATTCCTCCCAGACCCCTCCAAGAGGCCTCCAAGAGGCCTCCAAGAGCCCCCAAGAGGCCTCCAAGAGGCCCCCAAGATGCTCCCAAGAGGCCCCCAAGAGGCCCCAAGAGGCTCCCCCGAGGCACCCAAGACGCTCCTGGAAGCCCCTGGAGCCGCCAAGAGGCCCCCAAGACGCCCCAAACCGCCTCCAAGAGGCTCCCAAGAGGCCCCAAGAGGCTCCCCCAAGGCACCCCAGACG